TCACATTGCCTGTTTGCCTTATGCCTGACCGCGCTGCACCACGGTTAAAATTCACTGGTACCGTCATGCCATGCGCCAAATAAAAAATTTTGATTTCGACCCACAAAACAAAATTAGGATCTGCTGCCTTGCTTGCTCGCTTCAGGCTCGCTCGCTGCGGCAGCAATAAAGCCTTCGCTATAAGAGCAGTCTAGCGAAGAACATGCCTGAGGATTAGGAACTGTTGTTTTTTTAGCCGGAAAACATGGGTTTCACATTTCAGCCTCCCGTCGATTTTCGACAAATAAAAAACAAATACTATTACTAGTAATACTTAGACAGACCATGGTGGTTTTGGCATAAGGCCACATTTTGGCATTTTAAATCCACAATTTATCGCTTTATCTCTCGCCTTCGTTCTTCACTTTTATAATTGGCTAAATGCCGATTTCGCGATTTGCCGAACAGTGACGAAGCAATTTGCCGACTGAGCCGACTTGCGAAAATTATTGGGGGGGTGAAGCACCCCCCACACACACACCCGCTCGCGACGGCCCTGGCTGCATGTGATTGCTGCATATACAGGGTGTATAAAAAAAAAGTAATTGAACTTCAGCGCGCTATTGTATCCGAATTACTCTGCGTATGAACGAGATTTTAACACATTCGGAAAGATCATGCTTTTAGCTGTTGAATGATATCTTCTTCATGCCATATGGATAAAAAATGAGCAAATACGAGTCGGATAAAAAATGTTAGTCAGAATCGCATATTTTCACCGTTGAGAGTTGGGTACCTTTGGTACTTAACTGGATGAATTTCACTTCACTAAACTACGCACATAATTATTATTAAGTAGGAATAAATCTTAGCTAAGCTATACGACACGTTAGTGATTAATTGCTTTTTCTTTTGTTATGCATTGTTTTAATTAGGCACAGAGGTGAAAATATGCGATTTTGACTAACATTTTTGATCGGCCTCGTACATGCTTATTTTTTCTCCACTTGGTATGGAAAGCATGTCATTCAATAGCTAAAAGCCTGATCTTTCCAAATATGAAAACCTAACCTGAGTATCAGGCTCTATTTTACAAATAGAGCCTGACACAAAACTTAACCTGATCGCTTTCCACCCACAGCAAAGTTTATATTTAGTATCCGATCAAAATGTCGCAGGAGAAATTTAAATTTCACACAACGACAACAACAATCTAATTATAGCATAGGCAGCCCACTAAACGGCTGAATTTAAATTAAAACTGCAATGAACTTATAAAATTAACAAAAATAATCACAAATTAGCGAAATATATTGCAAATGTAGCTTATATTAAATAGCCACCCGATTGCTCTCTCCTCCCCAGAGGTTTCAGTGATTACAATGAGCTTTACATGGCGCTCACCGTATTTATCAACAAACTGACATATAATTATAAAGTATATAGATATTAATTAAGTATACTTTATAACTATACGTCAGTTAGTCGATAGTGCAATCTGATGGCGATTTAATAAGCTACATTTGCAATATATTTCGCTAATTTGGGATTATTTTCTAATTTTACTGCAGTTTTAATTTAAATTCAGCCGTTTAGTGGGCCGGCTATAATTGTAGTTGTGATCGTTATAAAATATATCAACAACAATAGTATAATCTAATTAGCACCAGCCAATCAAATGACAGATTTAAAAAATCGTTTGTCTAATCGACCAATCAGACGAAAAAGCCAGAATCTGGCTTTTTAAATGCGCCGCGGTAAAGAATTGTATCAGGCCCTCCTTCATTCGCCGCCGCCAATTAATCCTGGCGAATGAAAACATAAGGGCCTGATACTCAGGTTAATGAAAACCAATTGTTCATACGCCGAGTGATTCACGTATAATTGCGCGCTGAAGTTCGATTACCTTTTTTTTATACACCCTGTATATTAATTTTTAGTCTTCTGAAATCTTGCATTTTTTATAGTGTCTTTCCTGCTATGGACTCAATAAATTTTCTATGCAATGTTTTTAAAACAATAGGTTTGTTCAAGTAAACAAAATGGATGGATTCAGCTGCACTATTAAGATCACACACAACTTAGTCGATCGTGAATTGGTGAGTCCTAAAGTATACTTAAACAGAGGAACGACAAGAACACCTCCACCTTATAGGATAGCAGCTGGTTATGAAAATGCAGACAAGAAAATCGCAATCTTTAACGCTGATGATAAGATAACGAAAGCAAATTTTGCCACCTCAGGGAGCATGAGTTACGACATTGGTAATTCGTACCTTCTCGTCGTTGTATGGAACGTAGTGAAACATGGAACATTTTTGCTTGGAGAGGGGAAAAATTCCTTTTATTTCGCAGTTCTTAAAAAAAGCGATATCAAGACCAACTGGAAAACCTCCATGAAGACATTGTACGACGATGCGCAGACAAAAATGATTGAAGCTACAATAACAGGACGTTATATCAAACTTATAAACAATGCTGCTGACGGGAGTGTTGATTTTACTATACGTACTCACATGACTAATGATAAAAACGCTCAGTTAGTCTTGATTATAGATGATCCGCGCGCAACAACTGAAACCACCCCAACAAAACGTGGTCTTGCTACAGCCATGGGAATGAGTGCACTCTTTACTGTAGTGGGAAGTTTGAGCAAAATGGCACTAAGGCATTTACCCCTCGATACCCAATCAGTTGTAGTAACGGTGCAAAATGATTTCGCTGATACAAGTTTAGAAAATCCTGAATGGGGTGTAAAACAGGCCATTGTTTTTGATTCCATTCCATACGAGATCCCTGCTCAGGAAGAGCGGCAAATGACGTTTAAGATCCCTTTAGGTTATACTGAAACAAAAAATCCATTTGACAAAACAAAACACTCTGCAATTTTTGTAAGTTACAGGATAAAAGGAACTGAAGCACGCCTCACTTTTACAATTTGGTGGGCGAAGAAACTTAAAGTTTCCGAACTTAACCACTATTCAGTTTCCCTAATGTCTGCCAATATTAGTCCCAATTTGATTCAAAATATTCTCAAAAATCGCGAAAGTACCGGAGGGTATTTGGAAAATGTCTTAGCAGCCACTCAGTACTTGGACTACCAATGCAGAGAAAGCGAATATGATGCTGACCAAGTAGTAAATGATGTTCAGACCAAGGTCAAGAAAATCGTTCGTATGGCTGTAACAATGGGTGATAGCACTGCCAGCAATATGGTAGTAAATATCGGGGAAAGAAAAGGAAATAAATTTGATATAATAGTACCATCGTTTCAGGCCTGCTATGAAAAGTAAACAATGTAATAAAGTCAAGCTTTTCAAAGTTTACATTTTTTGCAGATGTTACATTTCCCACACATTTTATGTTGAACATGTAGATTAGTGATAAGTCGATTAGTTGATGTAAATGAAAGTAGTGATTTAATTAATAAAGCTTTTTGTTGCCACAGGTTCATTGTTGTGCCACCCATAGCATTCAGGAACCAGATAATAATTGGGTAACGATGCTAACATTCCTGGAAAATGTCACAAATCTTCCCAACGTATGCGTTAAAAATGCATAGCTGAGCTAAGCTAACTGCCATGCAAGGGTAGGAAGGTTTACACTTTATTTTAATAATGACTGATTCCGTTTTTTAAACAATTAAAATCCATAATCAATAATTTACATCTGGAAAACATCTGGTTTTTGATCCGGGATTTTTAGGGCAGAGGAATGAAGAGTTATTTAATATTCATAATAGTGAGGAGGGGAAGTGAGCTCGTTACATATTCTTGGGGCACATGAGCTTGCGCATGATCATTAGCATTATATGAAGGGCCACTTGGCGGCGCAGTGTGGAGGAGTTATGCGTAATGACGTCACTGATTATGCGCGAGGTAAACTTAATCTAACATCTTCCAACAATATCATAATAAATGTAATTCTAAGGCAATCATGTTCGACAAAGAATCGTGCAATCATGTTCGACAAAGAATCGACGATGTTGTATCCAATCTGCCTCGTCCCTCGTCGCTTCAGTTGGAAATAGAGATCAGTGGAAAAAAATTGGGAGCGCGGGGCTTAATGGGAATGCGATAGAACGTGAAGCGACTCGAAAATCCCGCATCCAAGATGGCGTCCATCGTAATGGCCAGTAAATGGCCGAGATAATGCAAATAGGGTGGATTTTTCAAGGTTATATTTCCTGTTTATTGAAGAAGAGTCCGAAGGTATGTTCATTTATATTTTACGCTCAAAAATGTATCATCAATTGTCGCAATTTAATAATATATGTGCATATTTAAAAATCTCAATCTTAAATTATTTAAATTAATAGCTTCGAATTTTTACTGTTGTAGACATTGCCAAGTGGTTCTTGGTTCGACGTTTCCGGAGAAGGAAACGTTATTTCCATATTTGGCCAAGATTCGAAAGAAGTTGCCAAAATATACGGAATGTTTCTATAATTAATTGCATTGTGACAGACTAAAGACATACGCTGATCAAAATAATCCCTGTCGAATCTCGGGTAAAATATTGTTAAATTAATTTCTATTAATCAATCCTTTTTATTTGGCTTTTGCACCATGTGCAAGTACTGTAGCAAGGTTAAGGATGCCATCTTGAATATATTTTTAATTGTTTTCACCCTTGTGTTTAAAATTATAGTCTACTCCGCAAGCAACTGTATGGCAAAAGGCAATATTTACAAAGAAGGAAGAGACATTAATAAATCTGAAGCAAGTGAGTGTTCACATTCCCTTGAATTGTTATCACAACTTGCCCTGAATAAGCTCATCATATTTACACTACACTGACTAACTAGGTTATATATCTTTACAGTAATTACCATGCCTAACTAATGTTCGTATTGTAAGTAAAGCCGGGTACATACGACCTTGACAGGTTCTTGGTAACGGCCATTGCTGTTAATATTTTTTTTAATGAAATTTACTTTCGAAGTTTGTTATCGATAGACAGTTTCATATGCCTTAATTTTGTTATGAAAATTATTTCGTACTAATATTATAGTGCAGTGGGATGTCAGAGAGTATATAGCAACTTGTTCTGCGACTAATATTACGATTGCATGTATTTTTTGTTTTTATTTGCAATTAACCCACTAAGTAGCTTTGCCCCCTAATGCGTCCTATACTACTTGATCTAACGCCAGACTATTTTAGTTTTTAAGGGGAGAGCGCTGGCCCTCAATGAGAAAGTCGTGATAAAGCTTGCAAAAAATATATTACTTTGTCTAACGCCGGATTATATTACTCTATCTAACGCCAGAGGATATCACTCGTCAAGGGATTAGAGAGCTCCAAAGTTTTGCAAGCCAAGTTGCACTGGGGTGATTAGACGCTGCAACATACTGTCACGCATAGCTGTGAAAAGTATAGAAACGGATGTTTGTGACTTTTTTATTATATAGCAAATGAATACTATACAGCGCCTTTGCGTTAGTATAGTTGCAGCAAAAATTGTCTCGTTCCCGAGCCAACGGCGTGGAGCGCCGTTCCGGGCGTAAGCCCGAGGCGAGGGTAATAATTCCGTCCGGCTATTTACACCCGAGGAAGGAACGCACTAGTGAAGTCTAAAGTTCATCAAATATCGCGGGCGCATGGTGTATGGGTGGTCATCTCACTGATCTCAAAATATGGCTGTTTGCCAGGAGTGAAGAATGGGAAAATATAAAAAAATACATGTAAGAAAGCTTGGAAAATCGTTTCACATAACAGATTGAAATCGCAGCAAAAATTGAAAGTAAACGGACCTTAATGCAGGTAATGAAAAATACCTGAAAATATACAAGTCTTCTTTTGGTAAATATTGCATGACTTTCCATTCAAACGTTGTTCTGTTGAACAATATAGGGCCTAAATATAGAAATACACGCAAAACCTCTATTTACACATACAGTACACTGTCATTTATTAAATTAAAAACAGCTAAAATTTTGTCATATTGAAGTACAGCCTATATGCCTCTTAAAACACAGCAATATACAGCAATATATACAATATACAGCACCGTTCATGATAAGTCATACACGACAACGTACACACTATACGCCGGAACGAAGCACGAAATAATGAGGCCACGTTTTACGTCTGTGCACACTAAGCCGTTAGAGTTTCGGTATACGGATTCGCAAAACGTGCGCAAATAGTGACGAACTAAAAATTAAAAAATAATAAAAGTATGCCAAAGTAAAAAAAAAAAATTGCCAAAGTGGTGGCCGCCAAGCGATTTGTTTTCATCTCCCTCCGTTTGGAAACCGTAGATAACAAACATTTCTTGCAAATCAGCAAATATATTATATTTGTATTTTTGCAAAATTTTGTAAATTTCAAAACCTTTTTGAGAGCCAAAAACCGTCTAAAACAATGGAGCAAATTCGCCGACGTTAATGAAAGTAAGTTTGTTTTTAATATGCATGCATGTGGTGTTTGCTTTAATAATTGCTTTAAAAACTGATACGATCGTTGCGTATATTAGTGAAAAAAGACAGCATATAATTCCAGTGTGTTTTTATTAATATTTATTACCCATTTTATGTATATTAAAGTATTTAAATAAAGAGGAAAGCAAAGTTATTTTCATGCAAGAATTTGAAATCAGTTTATTTCAATTTTCAAACTCAATGTTTACCGATAAAAGGCAGTTTAGTTTTAAGTACATTTTAAAACGTTTTACGAAGCGTTTGCGGTTAAACTTTACATTAAATTGAAGCTTATATTACGTATAATAACAAGCTACTTATTTATCTACGTTTCGACTATATTTCAGTCATCGTCAGGATAAACTAACATATAGAGAATAATACATGGGTGCGCGAAAATACCAGATTTATTTAATTATTTCGAGAACACGAGAACTAAATCTGGTATTTCCAGGCACCCATGTATTTTTATGTTTATTATATAAAGGACAGTCTTTGAAAAGCGATAATTTTTACAGAGAAGCGATAATTTTTACAGAAAAGCGATAATTGAAAAGCGATAATTTTCACATGTGAGATTATCATGAATAATCTCACATGTGAGATTATCACTTTTATCAGTGCTCGAAATCTCTATTAAGCACTATACTTTATATAATAAACATAGCTAACATACATATGGTTTAACATACCTACCATATATATGTTTGGGAAGTTGATAATTTTGCAATTACAAGTGATATTTTGAGGGGATTTTTCAATTTTAAAACTATTTAAAACTATTATATTAAATTGACAATACTTCATGTTTGGAAAACATGCATACTATGGTTTTGTCACTAGCAAGGCGAGGGTTTTTGCATGCATGTATTTTCTAGTTAAACTGATATTTTGATATTTTGTTTTATTCAATCATTAAAAATTTATATTAAAACAATTATTCCCTTCAGGCTCAGTGATTACAGTAAATATTCACTTCGACTTCGTCTCGGCGAATAGGTGAGTATTCACCGGAAAATAATTATTAATTATTACTGTACAGCGCCGTTTTGTTCGTAGTAGACTGCGAGCAGTTCCTTAAAAGGAAAGGAGGGACTGCAGACGACATATCAAGAAACGAAATACGCGTTGTCTATACAACGCAAAATTCCGATTGGTTGATATAGTTGATTGACAGATCTTTTTTCGAAAAAGTTAATCAACTTAAATGTATCATTTTTCAAATAAAATTTGAAAGTCAACCGTCAAATTAGGTCATTTTGCTTTAAATTTCGTAGCATTTTTATTCTTACTGTCTGAAAGCGTTAAGTAAATGTTATTTTGAGCGAATACTATTTAATATAATACTATGTATTTTTGCTTGTACAACATAAACGTCGTCGTCTCACTACTTGAATTTTTACTTTAATAACAATACTATACACGCTGTAAATACGCGAAAATAATTATATTGGACTTAAAGGTCGGTGCGAAAAGTGGGCGTATTTCGTTCATTGATGTCTTGTCTGCAGTCCCTCCTTTCTTTCTATCGCCGGAGAGGGACTGCTCGCAATCTACGTTGGTAGTCGCAGCAAAGATTGTCTGGTTTAATATATAGCATGCCGTTATAATTAACAAATCCATAGTTAAGGTCTTGCAGACAGAAAGCATTTAAAGGCCCTGTCACATTATTGCGTATCGTGTATGAAAATATCACTCATACGCCGGTATACGCTGACATACGCCAGGGGTACGTTAGGCATAGGTTGTATACGTTTCAAGCACGGTCGCGTACGGTGGCATACGCTGGCATACGTCGAGGCAGAAAATTTTTTTTGAGCATGTTCAAAAATTTTGTGCCTATCGGACGTATGCTTTATACGATAAGCA